TATGGAAAAGATCCTTGTCCTGTGAGAGCCATCATCAGTGTAAGAGGGTCCATCAAGCACTCAACAACTAGATAGTTTCTGCTCATAGTACAGCTTAACTGAACCCACCCACTGTGCGATTCTGGAACACAGAAAGACAACTAGAAATAAAGACTAAAGGAACAGGAGTGAAGAAGGTACAGCAGAGGTCAGAGGAGTAAACCAAGCATGAGACAATATGCGAGTGAGAGCATGTCATTCCTTTCTGGGGACTATGGGAGATTCCTGCCAGAGTCTATAAATTCATGAAGTGGCTGTGAAGATTAAGAAATGTACAAAATACAATACAGTGTTAAAAAGGACACATTTGATTGATCAAAAATGACAGTAAAGACTTTGTAATCTTGTTACAAAAGATTTCTGTTTTAAATAAATCCTGTTCCTACACAGCAAAACAATTATATTCTTACTTAGTATTTTTGTCTTGTTTACAGTCCAAATATCTGAAAATTCTTTAAAAAAAGTTATGATGTTACAAGTTATGATGATGAAAAAAAAGGTGAGTTTTTGCTTAAAACAAGCTAAATTATCTGCCACTGGGGTAAGAAAAATAATCTTGCGTGCAAGATTACTAATCTTGAAATAAGATTGTTTTTCTACCCCACTGGCAGATCATTTTGTTTAAGCAAAAACTTACTTAGGCTAATTTTGATTTTCCCCCCCCAGAAATCTTATGCCACAAGACAAAAATACGAAAAGTGCAGTTTCTTTTGCAGTGTATGTACATGATGTGTTCTAAAAACAATGTGTCAAGGTTTCTTGAGCAACAAACTGGCATATTAGAAAGAGTTCTTAAGGATCATGTGACACTGAAGACTGGAGTTATGATGCTAAAAATTCCATTTGCCATCAAAGGAAAAAATTATTTTAAATTGTAATTTCATAATATGACCGTTTTTCTTAATTCTGATGAAATAAACGTAGCCTTGCTGAGCATGTTATGCTTCTTTTAAAAACATAAAAAATATTACATTTTATAATTTTATATAATATTGAGAAGAGAAGAGAAGAGAAGAGAAGAGAAGAGAAGAGAAGAGAAGAGAAGAGAAGAGAAGAGAAGAGAAGAGAAGAGAAGAGAAGAGAAGAGAAGAGAAGGACAGTGTAAGATTGTGGGCCCACCTGTGTGAGGAGATAAACATTATCTTGAGTGGCTTGCATAAATTAGGCCTGATGGGGAGGTTTGAGTGACAGGTCTGACATTTGAACAAGGATTTTTTTTTCTCCCAAAGAATAAATAGCACACGATTGGGCAAACTAGCCCGACTGTTACCATCAAGCGGCCAGACCACTCACCATTCAACCTATCCGTGCTCATTAGACAGGATGAGTAAGTGTGTAAATTCACATGCAGATGATCACAGAGGAAAGAGGCTCTGACTACCCATGATTAAAGAAGCATAATGGAAGTGGTTAATGCTGCTGCCGAACTCGCTCTATCGTCCACTCTCTCCTCTAGTCACTAATTAAATGTCATCATACAAACAGAACCAGTCATGCATGTCTGCTCATAATATACAGCAATGTCTGAGGTGACGTGTTCTAGACGGTGAAACATGTTCACCCGTAATGCAGACACGCTATTCGCAACACGTCCTCACTTGTTTATAGAACTTCAGTGACACGGAGAGAGAAGGTATAATCACTACAGCATTGTCGATTCCACTCTGCAGATTCTAAGTCGCAGTGAAAAAATGACAGGGAGAAATGAATGACACAGTCTAATTAAGATCTCTGAAGCCGTCCTGTGCCCCATCACAGGAGACATCCACAGGAAAGTGCCGTGCTGCTCTCTCTCACACCGCTGACATTTCAGCATCACGACTGAGACAGAACGATCAATTCTTATAGGAGCTCACAGAGACATATACCGCCTGGAAGTTCTGATATGATGGATGACACAAGACTTATCACTGTGAATCAGTGCAGGTTAAGGTCATTTTCCATACCAACATAGCAAAAAATAAGTACATAAATAAACCATGTATAACCATATTGCACTGCATTGTGGGATAAGAGTGTAAATAGTTTAATTGACCATTATGGCGATTAGTATTCCCTTTGGCTGGAATCTTGGAGCTTTTTGTTCCAAAAACTGCTGTTCCATTATTACCCCTTAACAGATTTTGACTTCCGTGTGTGTGTGTGTGTGTGTGTGCGTGCATGCATTTGTGAGTGTTTGTGGTGACGCCCAACCAAACTAGCTTGTGTAGGACAGTCAGTTTGAAACATTTGGTAGAAAAAGAGCCATTTGAGGATTCACAAAATATTCTATGCATCAACACAATCTCTCTAAAATATTATTACCACCAAAAAGCGAGCACTCATGGTATCTAAAGAGCGTGCTGCCATACATGCGCTGCTGAACATAAAACCCATATTAAAAGGTCTGAGATGTTACCTTTGAAAACTGAACTCATTATTTACTCATCGCATCTCTTTTTTAAATGACTCCCTGCCAACGTACCCACTTGTAATTATGCTTATGGTAGTAATTGTCCCCTCCAAAAAAGGAAAAGTAGCTACAATTATTGTGGCATCCACAGGCAAAACTGCAAAAAACAACAGAAACCGACAGTCTACATCAAGCGCTTCCTATAGAAAAATCTGAATTGAAACGGAAGTTCATAAGTGACTGATGTAAAATGTCCAAACTAGGCATCGGTTCCGTGTGTCATACAAACAGCTCCTCACATAAAGAGCACAGCACTCAATTGATTACAATACACTTTGGCGTTAAAATGTTGCTAAACTAACAAAGTGATATGCACACAAATCTTAGGTAAAATAATTAGTCTTCTACTACACTGAACTTTTTCTATTGATAATTTTCAATACTAAATGAAATGTGTTCATTAATAATCATTATTTCTCCCACATTGTCCACCAACTGAGATTGTTACAATGCATGATAGTATTATTACATGTTTAGTACAGCCTGTAATTCATAGAGAATACATGAATGGATTAAAAATATACATATACCTTGAATGCAATTTAAGTCACTAAATGTTGGAACAGAACATAGCCACACATTTTTAACTCTCTCTTCAACTTTTTAAGAGACTCACAGATCAGACAGACGTTTAATTATATTTCAGAACCAGAAATCTAGGATATCCACCTGGAATGTTATAGCTTTAAGCATCAGCGAGACTTTACCACAGGTGCGAAATGCGAATGCTGTCTGGTGCCTGAACTCAGCCGTTGACATTTCTCTCTCTGAGACATACTGCACTATCCCTCCCTGTGCCCTTAAAACCCACAGTCATTGACCTCATGTTGCCAGCTTCACCCCCAATTAATTAGGTTTTTAATTGGTGACCTTTAAGAGTCCAGCAACTGTGTAGAGAGAGAGACACTTCATCTCTGGCCCTGCGCACCAGCAGCACAGAGTGGAAGGCTCAAATGTAGCCCTCACAGCACTTTAATCTGCCTTTCAAAGAGCTGTCTTCCTCTCATTAGACACTGTGGAATTAGGCTTGCTGTGTCCGGTCCAAGTGGATGTGCAACTCTATTTGATCTTTAGAAATACTGCCATATACTACAAACCAGCTGTGCAAATGAGAAATTGCTACACTGCAAGCACATATCAGTCAAGAGCCACACAACAGCAGTACCGCTGAGAAATCACTAGACACCAAACATTTAAAAAATCTTCGGCAAGAGATATGATTGCTGTGCACCGTTGTGTCATTTGAAACTGAAATCGAAACATAAAACGAGACATGATGAAGGAATCATCATAATGAAATGCAACTAACCATGTAATAGTGTAGCAGAGCAAAATAAACAGCTTATCAACTAATAAAAGGAAATTGCTTTCACTTTCATTTTCTGCTGACATCAAAGGCTGTGTGTGTGCGCCAAAACAAACGTTATGGTATTTTGCTGCAATTCATCTGTCACTTGGTACTGGTAGAAGCAAAATTAGACAAATTCCAACCTGGACAAGTTGCATGGCATGCCCTCATACTCGTACTCAAACTAAGTGAAGTAAAAAAAAATCAACCCAAATGACACTGAATAGGAGTTCAAAACATCTATTATACACCAATTAATAAATATCTAGAATAAATAATGCTGCTATTTGAACCCAAATGCTGTGTTCAGTCTGTTGGGTCATTTTATTGAGTTGTTTTTTTATTGTTTTTACTCAGGTACTGGGTAGTTTTTGTGTAACTCAGCTCCTGTCAATTTTACTGACATGCTCCCTCACACATACACCCAGAGCTGGGTCAGTGCAACACAATGTTGGGTAGTCTGTGCCAAACCGGTAAAAACTGCATATTTTGTCAACAGTGATTTTGTGTTCTGAGAGAAAACTTCCAGAGGGTAATCTTATGAAATTCAATTGTTTTCAATTGTGTAATCAAATGATTACAATTGAAACGTCTGTAGTCTCATATTAGGCCTATACCTTTTTTCTTTAATAGATGTACTTTGCAGCAAAAATCTGTTTGGAACGCTAGCCTTCTACAAACCCAGAATATCTACAGTCCAGGGGTGAGACACAATGGGGCATCCTTGTCATATGTAACAAAGTTGCCGAGCACATGCAGTGAATACAGCTCCATTGACTACAATGGTAGCTCTCTATTGATCTAGATAGTCATTTAATGAACTGGAACAGACACAAGGCCATATCATAGTCACTGCATAGTGATTATAAAATGAATAACCTTCAATATCAGGTTCTTTGACCCAGCACCAAGGGGGGGAAAAAACAACCCAGCGAATGAAAAAAACCTCACCATGTGTTCTGTACAATATTTACCCAACACTGGGTTGCCAAATGACCCAGCTTTTTTTTTGTGAGTGATGCGTTTCATTTTATACAGACATTTTTGTTCACCATTGTACGATAAACAATTTCAGTATTGAGCTGCCGCTTTATATCCAATTTAAAATCGTAAAGCAAAACCAGTTGAGAACTTGAACAAAAACACAAATTGGCATCTCACCTGGGGGAGATATCACAGCCCTGCTGCATGAAAGCTCCCAATGAGAACCAGAGACTGTTGAAGATGCCAAACTCATTGCTCTGCTCCTGACTCTGCTGGTTCTGGTTCTGTTGGCCCTGACCCGGTTGGGCGGATGACGAGGAGGGCTGGTTAGGGTTCTGTTCAGCTCCGTCGTCATAGTCCTCTGCGTGCCACTCGTAGGGACTGAAGCGGCTGACTAGGAAAAGCACCACGCTCACGCCGATGTAGGCAAACACAATACACATCCAGATCTCATAGGCCAGAGGGTCCAGGAAAGAGAACACACCAGGCTTGGACTTGGTGGGCTTTTTGATCATGATGGAGATGCCGAGGCTCATGAAAGGCTTGGAGAAATCAATGACTTCCTCCCTGACAAGGGTTATGGTCAGTGGGGCCACAGCTACGTCAGCTTTCTGTAGAGGAATATATGATGTTATTGTAATAAATAGCAAGTATTGTTATATATTTTATTAAATTACACATGAACCAGTAGAACCAGTAGAGGAAGTCAATCTAGGACAAAGTAAATGTAGAGCGGACCTGCTCTAATCTATCCTCCATCTACACTAAATGCCTTTCCAGGAGGAATTTTTTATCTCGTTCCATGTTATTATGCTTGAGGTAAAAATATGAAGCCTGTTGGTCAATTGCTAAACCTTTTCTCATGAGGTCTGGTTTTCTCAGTACACTAATGATTAGATTTTCAATAGCGGAATGCTGATTAAAATGATTGAGATTTTAAAACAGCAATTTTTTTTATCAGTAGCATAACTGGTAAAAAAAAGCTATTGTCTTCTTTGGCATTCGTCCTAAACACTCTGATATGCGGGTCTGGATTTATGTAGCGAGAAAATAAGATGTAGCACTTACACCATAGACAAGTTCCCCCACCATTCCATTCCACATCATGGTCTCAGCATCTCTGGCTCCATATTTCCCATCAGCCACTATCTTGAGTATGTAGTGGTATCCCACATGTTTGGCTATCTCTGCTGCCAGTTCCACACAGTAACCTTCATATTTATCATTTCCTGTAAACTGCTCGTGGTTCTTCTTCAGCATGACATATGGCGATTCCTAGTCAGGACACACAAGTAGACGGACATATACAGTGAACAACAAATTATTTTTGTGTAACTGACCTGATATTTCTTTAACCATTCAAGACTAAAAGAATATGTGAATAACTATGTATCCTACTTTGTTTTCAATGAAAACGGTTTGGTATTCAAATGGATGTTTTAATATTTGACATAATATTTTTTACTTTTGTAATATAATATTAATATCACTACATTTAATAAAAAACCATACTATGTCTATAAAAATATTTTACAGTATTTAAGACAGACAAGGCAAATAAGATAACAAAAAGAAGACTACCAACTGAAGGCACACTGCACCGGATGCGATACAAAGAGAACTTCTGATGTAGACAGCTCCATTGATTATAGCAGCAATTTAGTTATAGTCTAACTGTGGCCAAGAGAGCTCAACACATTGCAACTGAAGAAAACACATGCAAATAGAAAAACACCCACACATTAAGAAAAGATCTTCATCAGTTTCACAACACATGTGTGCTCCAAATACTCACAACACAACCAAGTACAGAAACGCGTTGTAAAAGTTCACAACACAACCAAATACAGAAACGTGCTGCAAATAGCACAGACCACAACGGAAATGTTTCCAGGGGACCCCAATAAGTGACGAACCTAGCTGGGACGTGCTTACTGCTCGTGAGCATCCCTATGCCCTACCCCCTTCAAAGGGAAGAGCCCTTGAAGTGGGGACTTTGGAGTGAGGCAAAGTGAGCCAAAGACTTTGGAGTGGGGACTTTAAAACTTGCCTTGGACCCTGCATTACCTAACATTTCTTATGAAACTTATTTAAACTTATCATGACAAAATTTGTACAATGTAACTGATGTATAGATTAATATATTACCCTCGTGGTCTTTTTCTCTATCTTTATTTTTTTTATTTTTTTCAGCTAACTGAAAGCTCACTGTAAACTTTTCTTTTTACATTTGTATTCTGATGACATTGAACATATTGTTAATATATGTTGTATATTGTATACAAAGTTATATGTCGTAAACATGTCATCTCTGTATGTTTTGCACACAAAAAAAAAGTTTAAAAAATAAAATAAAATAAGTAGACTTTGAGCTATAAGCACGTCCCGGGTTCGTCACTTATTAGGGTTGTTCCGTTGTGGTCTGTGCTATTTGTAGCGCGTTTCTGTACTTGGTTGTGTTGTAAACTTTTGCAGCACATTTCTATATTTGGTTGTGTTGTGAGTATTTGGAGCACACATGTGTTGTTGTAAAACTGATAAATATGCTTTCTTAATTTGCGGGTGTTTTTTCTATTTGCATGCGTTTTCTTCAGAGCTCTCTCGGCCACTGTATCTAACTCAATAGACAGGCTGTAAGCATTATGGAAACCATATATTAAGACATTGAGAGCTGGGGTAAGAAATAGTTGACAAAGCAGATAAGAAATAGTGGTTACTTAGACCATGGTGAACTTGACAGATTTATTTTCAGATGACTTTTCTTGAGCATCAGGGACAGACCTGTCTATCAATTGTGTAGAAAGTGTAGGGTGATTCTATTTGCGGAAGGTCTGTAATATGAGTTAGCAGTTCAATTGTGATATTTCAGAAAGATTGGACATCCTGAGGAGATTACAACAAAGGCCACATGGGGCCCTGCTGACAGCTCACTCAGTAACAGGACTTTTCTAAGGAGCTCACAATGAACAAATAACATGAGAGCGTATAGAGGAGGGAAAGAAAAATAGAGTGAGGTGACAAAGAATAGAAAAGAACCCCTTGCTGATCAGCATAGGTTTGACACTGAAAGCAAACACAGCCAAAGCAAAGAGAGATATATAGTTTTTTGCCAAACAGCATTTCCAGAAACAAACCTCAAAATGTTAAATGCCTGATAACTGTGTCATATCTGCAAATGTTTCAGTATAACAAAACATTTGAACCCAGCTGTGCTGCAATGCATCTTAGAAACAGACCTGAACAGTGGCGCCATATTACTTGCTAATGTAGACCTCCGAGATGGCCTACAGTACATGCTGTCTTTCAGAGAAACAGATCATTCTTTAGAGCACCCGTGGTGATGCCACTATTTCCAGCCTCTTTGATAAACAGTCTCTGTAGGACAAACAGCATAGCTCAGACTATTTCCTGCAATCCGTCCTACACCCTTGTGAGCGCTTAGCACCTAACACACATGCTGATCCATTACTGCCTATTCCCCCACGTCCTTCCATCAGGAGGCTGGTCCACTCACTCTGCCCTTTCTCTGGCTTGGAAGGAGACGGGTAGTCCACATATGAAAGGTTAATGAATGCCCTCTGAAGCCTAACTTGCGACAGAATCGCTAAAACGCAGGCTAAGCCCAAAGATCACCTCAAAGAAGACGAGGATAAAGAAAAGGAAAATTAATCTTTTGTCCACTGCTGGCAATTCAATCCACGGTTCCCCTTTAAGTATAAGATGAAAACACTGTGGCTGGAGGAGCAATAATGTCTCATTTACAGACAGAGCACAAAAGAGCCTTCATGCTTTTATCTGCACAGAACAGCATTGCCGTCATCATACTGAGGGATAAAAACATGAAGGTGATGCATCAGCCATTCTAAGAAATAAAAAAAATGGAGAAGAACAATCATGAGATGGTGGGCTCTGTCCGAATTCCTATATTTTTATTTGACCCTGGGACGCCGTAATGTTGGGGACGATTAAGAAGATTCTAAGGGCCCTGGCCTGGACCACCCATCGTCAGAACAATTTGATTCACTGATTTCTATATAGGCCTAAGTACATTTTAAAATGCAATTTATTGCTGTGATGGCAAAGCTGAATTTTTAGTGTTACATGATCCTTCAGAAATCACATGCTGATTCGGTGCTCAATAAACATATATTTGATTTATGTAACATAAATGTTGTTCCTGCCACTTTTGATCAGTTTAATGCATCCTTGCTGAATTAATGCACTGGCTTCTATGGGCTGAAGCCCAGGGGCCTACACTGTGGAGGGGCCTACTGGCTGCACGAAAATAAGACTTTTTTTTCATAATTATTTTTATATATGGGAGATTACAGAAGTGACAACTACATTCTATAACCGAACTCACATCCGTAAATTTTCAGAAATCACAACCGCATTTTCGGCGAAGCCCTGCTTTGTGAATGGAACCGGACTGTTTTCTAAATAAAAAACAAAACAACTATGTCTGCCAAAAGTGATGTTCACTAAAAATTGGATTGGAAGAAAAGTTTCTAAAGTTATGCCAGTTGAATATATACATATTGAGCACAAATTGAAATGTTTATATTGACTAATGGCCTCCTGACATTTGTATTCGGGGTAGTCCAGGGGCCTCTGGTTATCTGAAGGTGCCAGTGTTGCTGAATAAAAGTATTCATTTGTCAAAAAAAAAAAAAAAAAATCTTACTGACCCCAACTATTTGAACAGTAGTATAACATTTAATGTGTTTTCAAACCAGCACAAGTTTAAACCAGTAAATCACAGAAATGGTTTGAAGACATACCAGAATAGTGGTAACAATATATGTGCGGTTCTGAAGTCCGTAAGTCTCATTAATGCCTGGAATGTAGGCCGCCGTGCTCACAAATTTCTCATCCTCATTCCAGTAACCCACCTGAGGAAAGATCAAATCAGGGACAGGAACTTGAGCATCATCAGAAACCTTTCTGAGATTTCCCACAGGAGACACTACATCAAATACAGTGCTCATTTAGTTAGGCCAGAGTGGATTGCTGAAACAATAACCATACAGGAGTCTGTAAATGTTTCGTTTAAACTATAAGTGAAGAAATCCATCTGAGAAATGTGAAACAGTCTGTCACATCGAGAGGCTTCCTAATCCTTTTCCTGATATTTAAGTACTTACTTTTTTCGGTCCCGTCGGCCTGAGCTCCATCACACTGACAGTGTAGTTTGTCCTTCGTCCCTTCTCGTTAAACTGAATGTGTCCCGTTAAGCCTTCAATCCGAACCTGAGTAAAAAACACAGAGAAGATGACTTTCTTTCTTTCTTTCTTTCTTTCTTTCTTTCTTTCTTTCTTTCTTTCTTTCTTTCTTTCTTTCTTTCTTTCTTTCTTTCTTTCTTTTTCAAGTACTCCTCCCCAGAAGGGTGTACATCTCTCACAGTGCCTCTTCTGTGTGTACAGTACAGAATGTCTCCCAGGCCGAATGATGGAGTTAATTGACCGAGTTGAACATCAATCTCCCTGGTCTCCCAGCAGATGGACCAAATTGCCTCAGTCCAGCACACATCAGACTCTCAGCAGACACAGCCGTGGGCAACTGTGTGACAGAGCCTACCTCTGCAAGAAGAATGCTACACACTGAGTTTACTACATTGCTTAGACCTCCTCACACTTATAATTAAGTTAAGTGCAATGGAGAAACGAATGATACGGCTGGAAGAAAATACCAATTTGTGTATGGCTTCTCAAAGAGAATAAGTCTCCAATAAGTCTCATTTGGTTTGTGCTAACAAATTTTACTCAACCTCGCCTGGCAAATTCTATGCTCTGCGCTTAAATATTCATACGCTGCCCAAAGCGAAGAGACAAACATCTGCCTAAGGGTAACACAACAAAGCCAGGTGTTCTTTCCCTCTCTTTGTAAATATAACTTGTCGTGTGCAGTTAGGACCAGCATAAATGTTTATCGCCAACAGGCTTTATTATCTGCAGTGTCACATTTGATTATGATGGTCTCTTTGGTGTATCAATGTGAACTTTATGAGACAAAATAAAGATGTAATTTGCTTATTGGGGTTTCATTTTGTGCACTCAGAATAGATTAGAACCAGTGTCAGTCTTGCAGATTGAACGTTTATGTTTGTGAACAATGTGTTCATTCAAAAATATGTCTGTGTGCAGTCCCAACAGGGCAAGATACCTGCTGAAGTGCTCTCTGAATATCGATGCCCTGGCCCCAAGGTGCTGGTGGGTTGGCCAGACACTCTCCAGCGTTTCCACGCCGAGATATATCTATCCTCTGCCTGCGGAGGTTCTGGAAGGCTGTGGACATGACTTTGACCCCATCATATGTGAGAGCTCCAGTGTACTGCATAAAGAAGTACATTTAATGTATTTAGTTTTATTTAATGTACATACACATTATATATTTAATATATATAATGCATATATATATATAAACCTAATTACATGGGGGTTTTTTTGTACTTCTTATGTATCAGGTTTGAATTCGTTGTTAACATGGTGAAATGTACCTTCAGTCCTCGCTTGGGAACTTTGGCATCTTTGTTTTCAAAGTCCAACCACTGCTGCACTGTTCTACTAATATTAGGGTTTGCGTAGTTCACCAGCTGGAAGCCTGTTACATTCGCCTCACCCTTCTTAAACTCTGTCAGGTCGATGTCCAGAAATCCCTACAGGAGAACAGAGAACATGTTAGCACGACATACTGTGATTTCAGTTACAGTAGAGCACATAGAAGGTTTCCATAGTCAATAAGAAGATAACAATCCAATTTCAACCAAATGCCAATCATTAAAGGCAAGTAATTGACTCAATTGAAAAGGGAAACCAATCTGAGATAAAATACGATGACGAATCCCTTGCGATTGTTAAAAAAATAAATAATCCAACGTAAGACCTCGACAAGAAATGGAGGAATTCGCAGCAGAGGGAGTCATTTCCACAATAAGTGTAGCGAGAGAGCATGAGGCCGGGCCTGTGGAGTGCTGTCAAATGTAATTCAGGGTTTAAAATTATAATGGAAAGAATGGTTGGGTCAATCACTTAATGAAAAAGGCTAATCCCTCTCATCCACTGAGGCTGGTTATCCAAGAAAGCTCGGTTGTTATCCGATGTGGTGCTGGAAAATGCAGGAGCTGTGAATAGGAATTTTCGAAGTTAAAAAAAAAAAACAGTGGCACATCAAGAGAGTTTTCTGGAGGTTTGTCTTTAATCCCAATGGCTCTATTCAGTAATTCAAAGACTTTTCTCACAATCGTATCAGCTGAGGCAAGCTGCCCCAGAGCAGCCCATACACTCTCCGTACCAGAGATCATACCGAACTGAATCTAACCTGAAGTATTACAAGGAATGTTTAATTTCACGAAGCTGACTATTTACTCATATAAGCTCAAATATAAATGTGTGTGTACTAAAGATCAGTTTGTGTTCAGCTCAACAACAAAATACGTTGTATTTTAAAATACGTCAACAACAAAATACAGTTTTGAGTGTAATAGCCCTTGTCAGGCTCTAAGTGTGTTGATCTTTGATCTTTTATCCCTTAACACGCTTGGTCCCCCAGGAGCAGTAACATGTCCCTGTGTACCCTAGGAACATCTGCTCCATAGGACAGCGAACAAGACTGACTACGCTTCTTCTAACATGACCTCACGCTTGTGTCTTACCTCAAATACCCTCACACACACATAAACTACTGGTCAGAATCATAAGACTGAATAGTATACTTGGCAGACCGTGCAATGTGTTTTTTTATGTCAGACTATATGATATGCAGCAAATCTTTAGGAAATTTGTTACATTTGACAGTGTCGACTGGGCAATCAAACATATCACGTTCTGACATCCTTACTGACAGGCAAAAATGAAATGGCACCGCAGGGAAGTCCCATATGCCAATGTTGGCCCATATTGGTTGCCCACTAATTGAAATATGCAGAAGGAGAGGCTGTCAACATAAATATTATGGTGCCACACACCCCTAAAAAATGATCCCTTCGCTAGAGAATATATTTAGCAAAAATATAATGGCAACTATAAACTAATGTTAAAAAGTCTAGGGTCAGTTATTTATTTAGCAGAAATGAATACTTTTATTCAACATTAATGTATATTTATCAAGTGCTTCTTAAAAAAAAAAAAAAAATCCGCACAACTGATTTCAACATTTCTATAAGAAGAAATGTTTCTTGAGAAATGTTACACTGAATACTGGAGTAATGGTTGCTGAAAATTCATCTTTGCCATCACAGGTATAAATTACATTTAAAAACATTACAATTTTTTGTTTTTTTATTATCATTATTTTCATTATTTTAAATTGAAATAATATTTCACAGTATTATTGTTTTTACTGAATTTTTGAACCAAACTTTGTTTATAAAAACATCAAAAAACCTTACTAACTCCAAGCTTTTGAATGCTAGTGTATGTTTTCATGTATAAAGAAAGACCCATTTATACAAAAAAACAAAAAACAAAAAACAATATAAATGTCTCCCTACTGGAACCTACCATTCCACAGGGACAACCCAAAGTATCCTGTAACATCAAATCAATTCTTGGAGGGAAGTGCTATCACACGGCTGGCCTCAGGGCTGAAGCGTCACACAACCTCGTTTCACAGCCTCATCACTCTCTGTGGTATGAGTGAACAAGGCAATCAGAGATACACAGGCTGCCTGCATCACTGCACATACCATATTATGCCATGCTGTTACTGAGCGCACAACTGGGACGCATGTCATCACAAGCTCTCGAGTCTGAAACATGGCACATTCTTCCCTCAATCAACATGACTGCAGTCTTTGAAGGCAATCAAGAGCTCATTCACCAAACAAGTTTATAATAAATTAAAGGAGAAAACAAAGTCAAGCAGTTTGCAGAATGAAACTTTCACTGATTTCAAAAAAGCAAAACTCTCATTGAGACACTCCTGAAACCATTTCAGAAAGATAAATGTTTCAAATTTCTTATTTTGACAGGTTATATATTTTTAATCATTCACTACTTTAACTTTATAACCACTAGCTCATAGGTTCAACTGTGCACAATACTCGCAACAACTATATTGAAGCAGTGCTGTTATTGTTAACTAAAACAATTAAAAATCATTTTTGGTAATTAATAAATAAGATTAAGAACATCAACGAAAATTTGAAATGTTCGATAACTAAATGAAATAAGATTAAGTTGAAATTAAAGTTTAAATGCAAGTTGAATTAAGTATAATGATTTAGCAGAAGTTAGTAGGCCTAATATTAATAGTGATGTTTGCCTTGAATTGAATCTGCCTGGTTAGACACACCACGCAAGGGACTCCATGAGTCTGTAACCAATCGAGAGATGGAGGAGAAATGAGGCCAGGAGTCATTACTGATCACAACAGCAAGTTGCTTTCTGAAGCACTGCCACTGCTCTCTCATGATTGGTCTCATCCTTCTGTTTTTTTTTTCCTTTCTTTTTTTCGTCTTTTGGCATTCCTTCTCATGTCAACTATCTGCTCTCATAGCAACAGTGAAATCCTGTTTCCTGGAACAGGGCACCACTGATGATATCCTTCAGTTGTATGCGACTGATATAATTGATTACAGGGTTTTGACAGATTTCGTTCATTTTTGCCAGTCTTGTTCTCTTGGCTCAGCGTAATTATTCTCAATTTCAGGCGTAGGCGGTCCTCCCACTCTAGAACTACAGAGAGGGTTTTTGCCCATCTGATCCTACACAAACTCACTGTACACCAAGTGAATGATCTAAGGAATGCAAGATTTTGGGTAAAGACACCTGTATTCTCATTACAAGTTCTCAAATCACATCAGTCAAGCACAAGACTTGAGAATTGCAGCCAAAATGTGAGATATGGTGGACGTGTCTCCTTAGCATGCAGGATGAAAATCTGCACAGTCTCTGTCTGTTACACCATTAGGATATTTCCACAACACTGCAAAAAACTAAAGAGGAAGCTCCTCTTTTTCCTCTTTTGTTTAATTTTGATCAATAGAGTCATTTTTACGTAAATATGTTTTTGATTCACTAAAACAGACCTACAAACTCACAAGAGATGAAAAAGGAGACATGTTTACAAAGTAAATTGTTGTTGGGGTGTCTCCCCCAGGATAATTTTTTGGTAACACTTTACAAGAACAGGGCATGAATAATCATGTACTAATACCTGAATTAATAGTTACTTCAACATGAACTCATGATTAGTGAATATATGAACTAATCGTGAACCAATGAAAAGCAATCATTAAAGGTCCCATGACATGGGGTTATTTTATTATTTTATAATGTTTCCTGGGTTGCCCTTATAATGTTAGTGTTTTTTAGATCAAAAATAGTCATAATTTAGAAATAAAAGGCATTTTTCCTAGCCTGATTTTAGCCTCTAATTTGAACGCTCTGTTTGTAGGGGCGTGTCTGCTGTGGGATTCAGTGTAACCGCGGCCACTGCTGTGATTGGCTGACATGCTTGCATATGAAATAGCAACGCATTACATGTGAAACTCTCTCGAATACTTTTACTACAGCTATTATACGTTTTTACTATTACAGCTATCGAGATTAACGAATCGTGAGAAGTTTTTAAAGTATTTATTCCCGTCACATACAATGTTGCCGTGATGAGCATTGAGCAAGCAGAGGACAGTCTGTTGACTGAAGATCTTATCTTTGCCACGCAGTTTCTGCTCTCTCTCTAATGCTTTCACCAATGCAAACACGATGATGTACACACAGTAAAAGCTTCGTTGTGCAGTGTAACGTGCGTCATTAATTTCATAATGAGTTGTCCAGATAAACTCGCACTGTGTGGAAAGATTGTTCTTTGATCGCTTTCATATAATTTGTTCACAATTTAGATTATTTTTTTTATCCTACTAAAAGAAACGATGTGAAGTTGATATTTTAGTCACTGGCTTGACTTACTGATGCATAAACAGTATTGAACAATTTTGAGAGAAAGATTACCTGTCTGAACTTGAACAATTAGGCTACACATCAGAAATTGTTGCTTGGTAGCTCGATGATTTATTTTCAGACGTTCATCGAGGCCAGCTCTGTATTGGCCCAAGTTGAGGAAACAGTCGTCGGTGAAATGTTTGGACCATACAAAACTTTGGGAAGTTGTGTCGGCGCATTTCCAGAGAAAACAAAATTAACCCATTGTTTCTTCAGAGGCTTGGATGTAGGAACTAAAAAATACTTTTACGAGAATGCAAAAGCATTGCCAATAATGTTTCCTCCCATCTCATATTTTTTTTCTTCACCATGTCCCTTAGGGGCTCCGTACATGGTAATTTTCCTCAAAGAAAAAAATATCTCTCAACTAATGCTGTAAACTATACAGGAAACCCCATTTGGTACATCATTATAATATTAAATGTTAAAATCAATCAATTTGTAGGTTACTTACATTTAAATTACACAAAGTTTTTATAATAACGTTATAATAAATATTTAATGGCATAATTATGTTTCTACTTGTTTTTTTAATATTAAAATTTAAATGGTGGCTGTCATAAAGTTGTCATATATTCAAACATACATTAAATATTGAAGAACAGGTTAAGTAAAAATAGAATATGCAATATAGTACATATATTTAGAAATGCACTAAATAAATTTATCTAGCTGACTAATGAGTTTTTGGACAATGAATGGCTTTTCTGAGGTAAATGTGACCTATGACATTGTTTACAAGCTGTTTTATCGATTACATGTGACATGATACAGATTTTGGTCAAGCTTTCAACATACCGCCTGATGTCCATTCATGTTTATTTCATGTTGTAATTAAATCAGAAGAGATGATCGGTTCACAAATCACGTCACGCGCAACCTTCGGGTTACCAGTCTGACTCGAACTATTACTATTAGGCCATGACTGTTGAATATTGTGCTTGCAATTTCACCCCGTGGTTATATTTTGCTAATGTGACCGGACATTTACAGTCAAATACTGTGAAAAAATATATTTTACCGTGGTGCTAAAGGTGGAAAGGTCATGGAGGAAATGCTGGTACAGTACAGTGAACCTCCTAACTTTTTTATTATGAAAATACTGATCTTAAAAAATAACAGGAGCCACGCATCCTCTGAAAAAAGAGAGTAAAAGATCAATCTTTTTAAGAATTAATGTCTGAATTTTTAAAATGATGATTGATTTTAACTTAATTCGATATTTCCCCATTCCCTCCTCTCGGATGTAGTGTACCAGGTGTTCATATCTCTCAACTGAGTGGATAGAGTTGTATCTTTTTCCACTTGGCGTCCCTGTAAATGTGGTGCAGTGAGTCGGTGATGTTACTATAGAAACTAGCCTTTACCCAAAAGGCTTGGACACAGAGGGGAAGCTTACACGGGCATATCCACTCAGATACAAACGTCCATGTATGCGCACACGCGCGCACACACACACAGACACACATGCAAACACAGTGTAAAAAGAATTGAGCTCCCCGTCGTAGGACACTGGGAGTAATTTGCTCACTTCTTAAAATTTGGCCATTATGGAAATAGCAGGCAGTTGCAAATCTTTCTTTATTGCTTTGCAACCTTTATCGTTTATCATTTACAATTACATCTAACAAACCGTCCAGACCAGTTTAATTTAAAATCTTCAGCAGTGTGCCATCCAGGAGCACACCACAGCATATTAATGCTGCGATTATCATCATTTCTGTTTAAATCAATTTAGCCCTCCGTTATCATACGTTGAACGCACCTACAGACAAAGACTGCAGAAATCACTTGTAATTTTTCATATTCACAGAGCAGTTCTCCAGGCAAGGTTTATATAACATCTCATTTGTTAGTCATAGTGAGCATCTTCTTACGATTGGTCAGTAGTGAAGGTATGCAAATCACTTGTAATATCAAGAGTCCAGTGGCATTTGAAAGCTAATGCTGAGGTTTAGTCATGAGATCTCTCATAGTGCTGAAATGAGTGCCGTTTTTTTTTTTTTTTTTTTGCTTACCAGGTTTGCTAGGATGTAGTGATAACTCTTCACGTTCTTCCCCAGCTCGATGATCTGAAATGGACCAACAAATAAGATGAAAAGTTACAGCGGTCAGTATTCATTTTGGAGAACACAGCACTTTATAAAGCCTTATTTATGACAGTAAACCCACAAATATTAAAAAAATCACACGATAATATAATATTTGCTGTCACATAACTGCAAAAAATGTATTGTATTTTTAGTTTTTCACTGCATTCATCAATTGAATCAGTAGTCAATGAGCATGCATTAAACTATATTATTGCCCAGCTCTGATCTGCTAAATCCGACTATAATGCATTAAGATATTAATATAGTATAAACACTGACATTGTGATTTTCTATAAAGCTTCTTTGAAACAATATGTATTGTGAAAAGCACTATAGAAATAAATTTTACTTTACTATAATTATTATTATTATTTGAACCAAATCAATAATAATAATAATACTAATAATATTTAGTGTTCCTTTACCTCAAACAGTACACACCAAAGTTATGGTAAATAAATAATAATGATTATTATCTATAACAACAACAACGCCAATAATAATAATTTTATTTATTTATTTTTATTTTGTGTTTTACTTCAAAGAGTACACACCAAAGTTATAGTTTCGATTCCTAGCAAACACATGAATTCATAAAATGTATAATGTGAGTCACTTTGAATGCAATGTAAGTCACTTTGATGAAAGTGTCTGCAAAATGCATAAACATGTAACATTTAAATAATAACAACAACAGCACATTTCATCTCCATAATATGACTACAATTCTGAGCTTTCATCTTTACACTGAGTTCAGGGTGTTTCAGAATCAAGATGGCTATGTTTTCAGAGTAACAAAGAGGAGAGGAATGAAGATTTGTGATGTTCGTTTTTGTGTGTGTGTGGCTATAGAGATAACAAAGCTTCTGCAGGCATGAAGAGTACAACAGTGGTGAAAAACAATGAGTCATACTCTGACGGGGGAGGAACACATTAGTAGCACTCTCAGTTCTGTTTGGTACACACTGACCGAGGGTCGCAGCCTTAACCTGTGTGGATGTACGTGAGTGCGTAGTGTGCAGTGTCAATGGGTATCAAAGACACCATCAAACTGTTATGTTGTTCTATGGCTATAATTAAAGAAAATCCTCTGCATATACTCGGGATGTACAGGACTAATGGGGTACTCAGAAATAACAATGAGCGATCGTAAAGAACAATTGACAACATGACAGACAGTAGCATTAGTTATTAATGGTGACCCTAGTAAGATTTCATCCGGCAGGCCAGCCCAGGGCGGAGAACACTTCTGACAAGGACTTGGTCTTCTTGCGTATTTCAGTGCTGTGATAAAAATTAATGGGAGAGTTCATCCTAAAATGTAAAACTCACCGTCACATTGTTCCAAACATGTATGACTTTTCTTTTGTGAAACATAAAAGAAGATTTTGAGAAATGTCTCAGTGGGTTTTGTCCATGCAATTGAAGTCAAAAGTATCTTATCTTAAAAATATCTTCTTTTATGTTCTGCAGAAGAAAAAGTCATTTAGATTTGGAATTAATCACCATTAAATGATGACAGAATTTTCATTTTTGAGTGATCTTTTTCTTTAATGCAGAACACAGGAATGAAAGAGAAGCCTCAAAAACTATTTTGTGGCTTTTAGTCCATGTCTGTAAGGATCCGGTTACAGTAGCAACAATTCACCAACATTTTGTGGGCAAAAAAAGTTCATTGTCTATTGTCAATAGTGTATTGCTCACAAAGAAGTCACTTTAAAACCAAGCAGTTTTTTGTTGGTTAACACGGCACATTTGCGTGACCAACCTAAACAAGCAAAATCTGCGTGTGGAACTTTTTCGCCATTATGTGAAACTCCCAATAGGATGCATTCCTATTGAAACTACTGGATTTTGCTTGCAAATCTTTGCTGAGGAATGGTAAATGTGATTGTACCTTAAGATTGAGGCAATCTATATGATAACACATGCTCCAAAAAGTTGACAAAAAACCTGTAGCAGAGGGAAATACTGGAAAGTGGACCAAAATAATGATGATTTCATCTTATTTTCATCATATTTCAATCTAAAAAGCTCCACACAACATATTGCATGCTAAGAGAACGATGAAAAACATGTACAGAGTTTTTCCTCAGTTAAACCGTCTGGCCCCCGGTGTTAGTGAAAGAATCAAAGTGGGGGAAAATTACACCAATGTTGTTTTACGGTATGATTGGTGGATGTGTGGTGATGGATGATTGCTTTCAGAGAGGAAAAAATTTGTCTAGACGTGCTGTGGAAATTGCCACCAAATGATGCAACAGCCTTAACTGTGGCCACTGTGCTATCAATAACACAACATGGCCTGTCGAGGGTCTTCTGTTTGAGTCATGAAATAGAAGAAAGAAGAAAAAGGGAAGAAAAGACACGCTCTCATTAATTACAGTACAGGACGCTTCCTCCTCCTCCAGACAGTGGAGAGAGCTGACAGAGAAAGTGACGCGTCACTATGGCTCCGCTGCCAACCCCAAATGTCAACCCAGTGTTATTTATCTGCTCCGTCCTTGGCGCTCTATGAGAGAGAGAGAGAGCATCTTGGGGCCTGTTGCACAGGCCACTCCATCCGATAAGAGTGGCCACAGGCTTCATCCAAGCACTCAAGCTCAGAATTGCATTTTTAAGTTGAGTCATTTGAGCCTGCAAATGATTACTGTTATATATTTAAATAAATATATATATATATTCATAACGGTTATTAGCAGCATTACAGATGACTAGCTGTTTGACTAGACATATTGTAGTCTTAGTACATTTGAAGCAAAGAACATGCTCCATTTGCATCGAAAATTTGAATCCCAAATTCATTTGGAGCATCTGACAACATGTACGACTGTAATAAGACTGGCGAGAGCCCATTACCTTCTTCAGGATGGACGTGAGTCTCTCCAGCTCACAGTCGAGGATGATCTGGCCCTCCTTTCTTTTGTCCAGGTCCTGGAACACTTTGAGGAAGGATGCTTCTGTCATTGTCTCCACGTTCACGGAGGTCACCAGCCAGTTATGCTCTGCTGCTGTGTCCAGAACCTTCTGCAGAACTGCCAGTCCTTGAATAAAAATGGGAAATATTAGGTTAGAAGAACTCAAAAAAGTTACATCAATTTTAAGTTAATAAACTCCACAGTTAATTTACTAGAACTTTAGGTTTTACTTGTGCATTTTACAAGCAATCTAACTGCACTTAAACTAACAATTTTGTAGGAAGATGGGACACTTAATGTGACAAGTTGTGTGAAATGTACTGTGTAAATAATGACATGTGATAGTATGCCTAAGCTAATTCATTAAAAAGTCATTCTAAAGCAGCTCGAGAGCTTGGAGGACTATAGTATCGACACTCTGTTATCTCCAGCAACTAACCATCTAACCATCTGAATGCCACTTTATTGGCTGTGATTTCAGAAAAACCTGCCAGGAAGATACAGACCAGTGGAGAGTGAAAGCCACACTGTTCACAGACAGGAAATTGGGTTCAATTAGTGAAGACATTGATCTTGGCATGGGATTGCATGTGCATGTGGGAAACCCCCAAAGGACCAATCAGCTTTCTCCCCAGACACCAACAAAAATCTCTCTAGATCAAAAACGATGTGCTTAGCCATTAGAGCCAACAATATAAACTTTTTGGAACAGCCTTCAAACCAAGAACATGGTTATGATGCCTTAAAATGTTCCCTGTGGAGGCAGCTCACTAGGTTTTGGAACAGAGTGATAGTGTCTACACATACTGTAACACGAGCCGCATCTCTCACATAAGAACTGAGCAGTTCTGAAGGATCATAGGATCCCATGACGTGATGACAGTTGAAAGCACAAGCATACATGATTGCTCTTATTATGCTGCTGCTGAGAGCAGCTTATGCTCCTTGTGTTCTCAGTACTTCAGCACCATGGCCAGCTCCTCCAAACTCATCAAAACCTCTCCAAACACTCAACTGCACACTTTAACAGCCATCTATGTTTTTAGCTGTGCAAGTATTTCACACAACAAGCCCAAGTTCATCCAGTAATTTTTTTTAAATCCTTCTCAAAAACTGACTATGAAAGTATATGGTTGCCTGTAAATTGTGGAAAGCTTAACAAAGATACATAAATACAATAACTCCCCTGTGAGCATTTATATGGGACATTTTTTATGAAATGTTTAATGGACTTTGGGTGCTGTTCAAAACATAAAACAAATTTAAGTAAAAAAAGAAATAAAGAAAAAGCATGCACTTGAATTTAATTGCCTTTGTTTAATGCAACACCACCCAGCTGTTGTATGAGCTGCAATTAAAAGGAGAGCAACAAGGATGCACACATTATAATTTATGGAACCAATGGATCCCGCAGCAGCGATAACAGGAATAAATATTTAATTTATGGGGTGGGGTGGACCACAAAATAAATTACAGGAAACTGTGACTGTTCCAGAAGAATCATTCTGTGCACTAGACTACAATAGGGTCTACACACTTAAATGTTTTCAAGTTAAATGATTAGTTCACTCCAAAATCAACATTCAGTCATCGCTTGTTTACCATTTTACCTCAACATCGTATGACTTTATTTTAATTGTGGGACACTAAAAGGATAAATTTTGGTCAATTACTGTGATGAAAAACAAATAAATAATTGAAAGGATGCAAACAAACCATAAAAAGTATCATAAAATGAGTCTCTATGAGTCCTTTTCACTGAACTTGACATCCTTCATAACTAGGAAGTGTTATCCAGTTTGTGAATGAATTATTTTGAGTCAGATCTTTTCAATAAATCAGTTGATCTAGTTCACAAAACTGGTATAAAAGATTCACGAGTTCGCCTGCCCATTCAGTCTTAATTGCTGTCCTCGAAGGAGGCTCAAACCAGAGGCTCGGCTCGAGCTCTGAGATAGACTCTCCTAAAACAGCACTGTGCTGAGGAAGAATAAGAGAAATAGAGGAGGGATGGTGCAGTGACTCCTCATGATTGACAGGACTGAATGTTTAGGCTCCTCCCGAACTTAGGTTTGGAACTTCATTTCATTCATGAATCTAACTGTTTCAGTTCTTAAGTTCACAATCATAATGATTCAGTAGCAGTGATTAACAGGCACCAGAGGGGAAGAATATCAGTGAACAATGATTTACATTTCAGTCTGTTTCTCACACAAAGCTATCATGTGGCTTCAGCGGATTTGAAATATAGTGCATAAGTCATGCTAACTATACATTTATGATATTTAAATGGAGCATTTGTGTCCTTTTTGTAGCTGGAATGGGGACTAAACGCATAGAAAAAGCAACAAGTGCAATTATTCAGAATATTACAGGAAAAAACGATTTGAGTAAATAGTCACAGAAACTTATATAAACAGTCCAACTTTACCCAAGTAAAGAAAGCACATATTGACGGCAGGAGCGAGAAATATAGACTCCCTCCTCTGCTTCGGTCAGCCTCTGTTTTGAGCACTTGCCCTTTGACCCCTCTGCATCTGAGCCAGTGCTGCTTCCTGTTTGACTCAGTGTGAGTACAGCTGGACCACTTTAAGACTGCAGGGTGATTTGACATTAAGGAGCTCACACTCCCAGCAGGCTGAACAAATGGCTCACGATGCACACAGAGAACAGGGCCAGCGGGGGGAGACGTCTCTCCTTAGCCTCATTCTCACTCATCTGGGGTGGTGTGATGCCAGTGGAGTACTACGCCAACATGCAAAACAGCACACGGCAGCGGGGACGGTTTTATACGCATTGGGAGCTTACAGCGTGACTGGTTCACATACGGGCTACATACACTCTCACACGTATGTCCTTAAAAGGCTTAAAATAACCCTGTAGATAGTGCAGCGCTGTATCTAGGCAACAAGAGGCTGGTGATATGGATTCCTGCAGTTTGGTTCCTCTCAGTGACAGAGGTAATGATCCCACAATCTTAACCCAGAGCCCTCAGCACTTCAACAAGATAAAACCATCACTGAGACACCTGTGGCGTGCATATAGGCAGGCATCAAACCTATTGTGTGCGTAAAGCGATGACAGAACTGACAGCGACAAAGCAAAAAGGTGAGCTGGAAAGAAGAGGGCTGGCGGTGAGAGCATTATGGGTAACTACATTTCTTAAAAAAGACTAATATGCAGATCACGCCATGCTCCCATCATGGTCGGCTGAGCTGAATGTCTGTGACAGATGGTGACACATTATAGGGACACTGCAGCCGATTGGCTAAGGGGGGACGGGGGGAAAGCACACCTGGTGCTGACAGGTGTGTCAGATTTTACCTGTTCGTGGAGCAGCACCGGATGACTTTTCTAGAGCAGATCTGGGAATTTCAGGTATTTATTTTGAAGTGAGAAGAGACAGGCAATCAAAATTCCCGTGCTATGGGATGGTAGGTGGCAAAAGGTCTAAAATTAACACTCGTCAAGCACCAAATGCAAGAAAAAATTTGGGTTAGTAACCACTTGTCTGGTAACTTTCTTAACAACTGTGATAAAATCAAATCTGACGTAAAAGACATGCGTGATTTAAATAAACGACAACCGTCTACCAAAGAAGCCATCTGTCATGAATTTTGTGTCTTCTCAATTTTTACCAAATTAGAAGTTTTGCAAAACATACGTGGAATATTCTTCACAAAGAAATGAAAAAACAAAACAAAAATATGAAGAACCACATTATTATAGCTGGCTCATTAATGTGCATTACATGAGAATTCTGTCATTATTTACTTACTTTTCATCGCCCCTGGCATGTGTGGTAGAAGAGTTAAGTTTGGACCCTTCTTGGAATAACAATGAAAGCATGTGCAGAGGTGCTTTGGAATTGGGATTTTCTTTCCTCAGCCTTCAGCTGGATATATTTTACTCTGGCACAATGGTTTCATTCTGGCAGATATTCATGGAGAAAGATGCACAAATGAGCTCCAAGTGCAGGGGAGAGATGCATCCACTCAGATCAGAACACTATTGTTCATCCCAGCAACACACAACCAGGCAGCTCTCTCATGAGTCATATCTATATCTGTCATTACATACCAACATGTTCACAAACAAACAGGGAACAAAAGCTGACTCAATGTGCACACCAGCAATGTGGTGGTAAATATTGGGTCTCAGAAAACCGACGTATTCAAAAGAGAACTCTAAGGGGCGAATTCAGTTTAGCGCATGGTATTTTTCAGCACAAAAAACAGTGTATTATTCACTAAGCACCCACAAACCAGTTTAAACAAGACTTGCTAAATGGATCGCTACAGCACTACACAATGAGAATTTTGCATACTGTATTTGAATTCTAATGAGTGGAAAACATGCCTCCATTCTATGCAAATTAAGCTTATTAAACATTGCACATTTTAGAGCACTTTTAGACAGAGATTTATAGAGACTTTCTATTGATTATGTCAGGGGTTTTCAAACTTTTTGATGCCAAGAACCCCAAAATATGAATACCGTGCCACTGTGTGAGAAAAAAAGGTGAAATCGACAATATTATTATCTAAATTTACATTAATAATAAATATTATTATTATTTAAAAATTATTTTCTTTTTTCAAACCACAAGATCATGGAAATACATCAAATAAAAATCAAATTGTCATGATTCTGCCCTCGTGTCCTTGATTTTCTCTAGTCTTGAGGCAGGATCATGACAGAATCATGTTTTGTGTGCAAGGACATGGTCTTGTGCTTGTGTTGTCTCGTTACGTTACCCCGCCCCCTTGTTATCCTCGTCTCGTCATTATTGTCTAGTCAGTTTCACCTGTCCTTGTCTAGTCTGCTTCACCTGTCTTTGTCATTAGTGTTCCCCTATTTCATCCCCTTGTGTTTGCTGTCCTGTGCCGGTTCATTGTGTCACACTTTGTGAGAGTCTACCTGTGAGTACCTTGTCTTTGAAGAATGTCTTGATCTTGTGTTTGCTGTTTAATAGTCTAGTGTTTGTCAAGTGTTATCTAGTTTAGTTATCCCTCGTTTGTATTGCCTCTGTTTTGCCCCCTCGTGGGCTTTATTTTCCCCTGTTTTTCTGTTATAATAAACGTTGTGTAATTGTCTACCGTCTGCGTTTGGGTTCTTCTGCTATCATCTTAACAGAATGAACCGGCCAACAAAGAACCCAGCAGACAGTATGACCTCCCAACTCCAGTTCCAAACGGAGTTCCGTGAGCGATGCTGGTTGTCCGCACCAACCAATGGAGAACGGGTCGTTTGCCCTATCCCGTCCCAGGGTGAGCAGATCATGAGGGATTATGCCCGCCTCTGGGATCTTTTTTCCCGGGAGGTTCCGCAGGCTTCTTCCTCGGGCTCTCCACCTTCTGCCTGCCTGCCAGCTATTCCCGAGGGTCGAATGATAGGCGTCGTGACGCTTGGGGATCAGGCTGGCGCCCTCACGACTCCTGGCACTTCATCTACCCCCTTCCGTCTTCGAGGGAGAAGAGGGAGGCGAACCTCGTGGGACTCTCCTTCAGAGTCCTCAGCGTCGGAGTCTATCCTGCCAGAGATAACCCCTTCTTCGCCCGACACAGTTCCCGCCGTGCTTCCCCAACCCGTCTCAGCTCCGGTGATGGTCGCTGCTTCTCGACCTAAGAGAAAGAGGAGGAAGAGGGGAGCCTCCCGTTCTTCGCCCGCTGCAGTCACAGAGCCCGCTGCAGTCACAGAGCCCGCTGCAGTCACAGAGCCCGCTGCAGTCACAGAGCCCGCTGCAGTCACAGAGCCCGCTGCAGTCACAGAGCCCGCTGCAGTCACAGAGCCCGCTGCAGTCACAGAGCCCGCTGCAGTCACAGAGCCCGCTGCAGTCACAGAGCCCGCTGCAGTCACAGAGCCCGCTGCAGTCACAGAGCCCGCTGCAGTCACAGAGCCCGCTGCAGTCACAGAGCCCGCTGCAGTCACAGAGCCCGCTGCAGTCACAGAGCCCGCTGCAGTCACAGAGCCCGCTGCAGTCACAGAGCCCGCTGCAGTCACAGAGCCCGCTGCAGTCACAGTGCCCGCTGCAGTCACAGAGCCCGCCGCTGTGAAGGCGGTCCCAGCACCCGCTGCTGAGAGAACAGTTCCTGAGCTAACTTCTGAGAGAGCTGTTTCCGAGCTCGCTGCTCCAGCTCCTGAGAGTACTGCACAGGAGAGCGCTTCCGAGTTTAATATGAGCACTACATCTGAGTCTGAGTCGATTACTTCTCACCCTGTCTCCTGTCCTGTGCTGTCTCCTTCCCTGTCACAGTCAAGTTCCCCCAGCGCTTCTCCACGTGTCACCCTGTCTCAGTCTGGTTCCCCTATGGCTTCTCCTCGAGTGCCCCCACCCAAGTCCGCCCGGAATCCTCGTCCCAAGCCCTCATCCCGTGGACCTAAGACCCCCAGCACACCCATCCACCCTGGACCACCCCCCATGAACTCTGTTTCCTCCGCCACCTCTTCCTTGTTTATTATTTTTAATGTTTCATCCTAACCCTGTTGTTGTGTTTTCGTGTTTGCCGTTACTGTTATTTGTCATGTTTTGTTGGTTTGTGTCTGTTTCCCAGTCTGTCATGTCTCGTGTTTGATGTCCTCTTTTGGAGCGTCTGGTAGCCGCTCCTTAAGGTGGGGGTTCTGTCATGATTCTGCCCTCGTGTCCTTGATTTTCTCTAGTCTTGAGGCAGGATCATGACAGAATCATGTTTTGTGTGCAAGGACATGGTCTTGTGTTTTCAGCCATGTGCTTGTGTTGTCTCGTTACGTTACCCCGCCCCCTTGTTATCCTCGTCTCGTCATTATTGTCTAGTCAGTTTCACCTGTCCTTGTCTAGTCTGCTTCACCTGTCTTTGTCATTAGTGTTCCCCTATTTCATCCCCTTGTGTTTGCTGTCCTGTGCCGGTTCATTGTGTCACACTTTGTGAGAGTCTACCTGTGAGTACCTTGTCTTTGAAGAATGTCTTGATCTTGTGTTTGCTGTTTAATAGTCTAGTGTTTGTCAAGTGTTATCTAGTTTAGTTATCCCTCGTTTGTATTGCCTCTGTTTTGCCCCCTCGTGGGCTTTATTTTCCCCTGTTTTTCTGTTATAATAAACGTTGTGTAATTGTCTACCGTTTGGGTTCTTCTGCTATCATCTTAACACAAATGCTGTAAATAAGAGTGTGTAAACAAACAGTGCTATAAGTGGGTGCAATTCATTCTTAGACATTTCCCTCCAAAATTTAAAGATTTCAAATCATAAAAAGCAGTCCTCACCAGAGTCCGAGCTGTACATGTAGACGAACCTGGACCACTTGTAGTGCTCGATAACGCCCACCAGGGCATCTTGCAGTTCGGGTCTCAGCTGGATGACAAACTGGTTGGAGTTTTCCATGGGGAAGCTGGGCGTCACAAAGCAGACGTGTAGTGCCCCGCAGAATGACATCAACATGTTGACGGTCTTCCTGTCGTACACGCCGATGATGGCGTACACCCCTTTTGAGAACTGCGAACAGACTGGAGACAACAACAGAACACGATTTACAATACAGAACTCATTCATGTCGCATTGTTAGCATCTTGCTGGATATATTATTAATTTCCAAGAAGCAATTAGTAAACGTTTCTATATGCATCACTGGACTGGAAATGGTGCGGATGGAGTTTCTGAAGAGGCAGATAATCAATGCACACAAAGGGTCTCGCTGACATTTACCAAACAGCAGGGCGCTTTTCTATCTCTGCTGCCTTGCACGATGAGTATCTTTTCCTCTCCCTGTTGGTGGCAAAATGGCCTCAATCGGTTTTGAACCAGGTTTCCTGGTGTATTTTAATGCTGTATCATACTCTGTTGTTGCTATCTTTGCCCTGGCGGAGGTTATTTTTCACCATGGCTCCGGCCCTCACGTTTCAGTCCCGCAACTAAACAGATTGAAGTTGCAGTCTGTTCACTGCCAAAGGCCCAAATCCCAGCAGGGGCCGCCTGAGGGGCCCCATCATGCAACAGCCCACAAGCAGTGCAGGGTGCCAACTCCTCCAGCATGTGTGTTTTTGTGTGTGTGAGTTTGTGACCACTGGCCTTCATCACATGAACTATGACTCATTTTAACATCCGGCCAAAACACTTTATCTGTATGATAGACATTGTCTTATTCTGAGCAAATTACATCTTATAAAGAGAATGTGATATTTAACACAGGCACACTCATTAAACTGTTATCCATGCACTGTATATAAAAGTCACACGCTTGGTGCTAAGCAATAATGATTGTGGCACGTCTATAACAGACGCTGTCGTGAGCTTGAGGTAATATTGGGGGTGTTCTTATCACACGGCTCTGCTTCCTCTGTGACTGATGACTTGCACATTAATTCTGTCTGGGCTGAGCTTTGTGGACCTGGAGAGAGAGAAAGTGAAAAGAGAAAGGAAGGTGGGGGACTGCATCCCTCTGTGTTAGCTATTACAGAAGACATATGGCATATTGAATCGAGATCCTCATCATACCATATGTGCTTGTCTTGAATGGTTTCACATATTTAAAAAAAAATGTCAATGCATACAATGTTAATAACCTGTGCTCATTCAACTACAACATATTGTTGAACTGGTTCCTGGCAACAGGCATCAGCAGAAGATATTCATTACCTTTATTTGATATCATTAGACATAATTCATTCTAAATGACTTAACTTTAATAACAGTGATATATTAGCCTACCAAAAACAGCTTTAGTGTCTTGCTCATGGTTTTTTTAAACTTGCAATGCTATCTGAGATAGTCACATTGATGCACTTGAGAGTGATGCGAGTGTGAGACACACTCATTTCCTGATCCTTTTCCTCCTATTTCATGCACCATTTCCTGTTGCTCAAGCCAAACCAACCTAATGCTTATGCTAACCAAGACTGCATTTATTTGATGAAAAATACAGTAAAAACGATATTTTGTATTGTAAAATAACCATTTAAATGTAATAACTCTAATAAACTCTATTTTAAAATACTTAAAAATGTATTTATTTTTTCCTGTAATGGCAAAGCTGAATTTTCAGCAGCCATTGGTCACGTGATCCTTCAGAAATCATAATGATTTGCTGATTTGGCAGTCAACTCATTATCATTTTAAAACAGCTTAATATTTTTGTGGAAATGGTGATACATTTTGATACATGTTGATTATAAATAGCACGTTAAAAACAGCATTTATTTTAAATATATTTTTTTGGTAACAATGTAACAGTTTTTTTTTGTCACATTTGTTTAATGTAATGTATCCTTATTCCTTGCTTAATAAAAGTATTAATTTCTTTACAAAAAATGAATAAATAAATTAATTAAATCTGTTGCAATTTCCTCAATGAGTGTTTCTTCAAATATGGCTATTTTTGGCCCTGTGGAAAATAAACTCTCCTAAAACATGTTTTACTAGTAAAACACTCTCTCTAGTTTAGGAAATGTATTAATTTAATCTCAAGTTCTTCACTAACTTTGAAGAAATCTTTACTTGGAACAAAATTGTTTATAAAGTGAAGGACAACAATAATTTGTCATTTGAAAAGAAGTACAAATAAATATATGGTGAAAAAAGTTTTCAAGACAGTTTTAATGTAACCCAAGCAAGAATAGTAACATAAACACATTTGGTTTTTAATCAGTAACTAATTTACAAAAAATTCAAAGGAAACCGATTTGCCACACACGGCCGTTGCCACTTCCTACGTGTGTGTGTGTGATAGTGTTGAAGCAGACTGCAAGTGTGCGGTTCTCTCTAGCTCACATCTGCTTCCCTGTTCTGAAAAGTTCCAACTGGCAGGGAGCACATGGCCGTGTCATCCGGCCCTCTAATGACAGGAACACACTGGCCGCCTGCAGTGGTTTGTGTTAGCCTGAGTGGAGGCGTAAAACATGATGTGAACACCTCTGGCCAACCTGTGCTCTCTGGCCCTGCTAAAGATCCTGGCAGCATCTGCCCGTTCTGGCACCATCTCGCAAACAGATCTCCACAGGTCTGTTCGGCCCTACCAGACCCTCGACAGGGATGACTGATGACTGTATTGAACGCTCAGCTTGTCTGTGGTCATGAGACTCGTAGAGCCTTAGCCAAGCTGATGCTATAAGCCTAGAAGCTACTGTAAAAACATCCTGTTAAATTTACAGTTAGAAAAAAGAAGAAGAAAATGACAGCAGCTGTGGTTGCCAGAAGTTCAAGGTAAAAAAAACATGGTAATGTTTCACTTTCTTCTACATCACAAATCTCGCTTCATATTCCATATGTTAATAATTAATTAAAGGAATAGTTCATCAACAAATAAAATAATCATTAATGTCCATGTCATTTCAAACACCACTGACAGCAACAAGTATGTTTACACACACATCTATATATATATTTTTTTTTTGCATATTCGAGCTAGTCCTCATCTGTCTAAGTATACATGACACAATGTGTAATTGGATATTTGAAAGATTAAATACACACTGTGGGTCACTTCTGTCTTTTAATGTATGTGCACAATGCAGAGACCAAGCATAGCCATGCTGAACATAACATAGTGAATGAAGCCAATCCCATTATCTGCTAGTCCGATTTGACAGAAAACGGACTGGTATGATTTCAGTTTCATTATTGAAATGATATTTTTAAACTTTTAAAGTTTATGTAAACACACAATTACATGTTTCCCCTTTTAGCATCCTGATAATATTCTCCTTTTGTGTCCCACAAAACAAAGGAAGTCCGACATGTTTGGAACAAAATGAGAGTGAGGGTTTACATTTTTTGGTTAACTATTCCGTTAAACGAGAAATATTTCACTTTCTAATTCCAAAATCACCTGGCAACAGTGAATAAACAGTATATTCGTTGTAGCTTGACTGCGGAACTGGCTTTTCCAGTGTTTCTATTGCATCAGTTCCACTTAATATATGTGAGGCCAGTCTATTTAAACGACAGCGTGTCTGAGAGGTTCTTGCCAGGCAGCACTAGGGGTAAACCTGCTTTAAACTGCAGTCTGAAAGCAGTCTCAGGTAGACTCCCTCAGGAGAACTGTGGAGACTAAATAGCCATTTCCTTCTCAATCTGTTTCACTCACTCACTATTTCTCTTTTCCTCCAATCATGAGCAGAAAACCTGTGGATTATTGGAGCCTGGGTGCCCTTTCATGTGCAGTTATTTGGTGTATGTTGATGCCTGATGACGTGTCTCTATATGGATTATTTGAATAACTCTGCAGTGGACTAAATTTTAAAGGACAGTAGGCAGCACCTCTTCCATCCACATCTACTGCTTTAATGAGGTGTTCTGCTCGCTCCTTTGGCCTCCAGTCCACTGTATAAACACACACACACACACACACATCATATCCCCTGGCACACTCCAACATACGCACACAAGCTACCTTCACAGTTCAAATATAAAACACACATACACAAAATAAAATAAGTCCGAAATCTCACTCTTGCTATACACACAAGTGTCTGCAAATATCACCAGAGTAATTACACAATGGCAATCTCTCTCTCTCTCTCTCTCTGAAATCTCTCTCTCTCTCTCTCTCTCTCTCTCTCTCTCTCTCTCTCTCTCTCTCTCTCTCTCTCTCTCTCTCTCTCTCTCTCTCTCTCTCTCTCTCTCTCTCTCTCTCACACACACACACACACACACACACACACACACACACACACACACACACACACACACACACACACACACACACACACACACACACACACACACACACACACACACACACACAAGCCTGTCCATACTCATTTGATGGGAGTTACACGTCATTACCCTACACAGTGGAGCGTATTGCTGTGGGTGCTCAAGGGAATGTGTAGTAATAATAACGCCTGTATCCTGCTGTATTTATGCCATAAGTGGACAGTTCCAGGTCATCTATACATAATGTGTTATTTCCAAGGAATTCGACCTTTACAAATACAGTTTGTGCATGGTACGACAACATAAGCCAGGATGAGGGCTTCTCATCATTTGCATGTATTGCATGTAATGTTGCTCATATCCTATCATACTGCCATTCAATCACAATGGCTGAGGTTTTATGAATGTCTTAAATTTTTTATTTTGTTTAAAAAGGAACCAACATCCTCAAGACTGAAATTACAGGGTTTTTTTTTACAATCTCTAGGACACATTTTTCAAAATTCTTCACATAGTGATCACTTAACTGAAGTTCAAACCCTAGCACAACACACAAAATGAATAAGACAGTAAAACCACTAATTGAAATATATTCTGATTCTAAAAATTAATTAATTCAAAGCAATTAGATGTAGCCTAAACACATACACAAGTGTGAGTCTTTTAATTTCATTAACATTCATTCAAAAGTGGAAAACATAATTTTGTTCTGTAATGTACATGGACTATGTAATACTGCAGTGAATTATAAGCAAGAGAGAGTGTCGATCTTGTTTTGTAAAACAAATTGTAAAAAGAGAACGTATAATGCTACCTGATGTTAGTGTTTTTTAGGTCTGTGTTTTATGATTGA